TGCCACGTCAGTACAGGAGATGGAGTCTACACCAGGCCTGTGGTACTCCATAATAGCACCTGTGCCACTTTTCACTGTGAGAATGCCTGCCACTTTCAGGATCACATCTTTGGGTGAGGTCCAACCAGAGAGGGAGCCCGTCAGCTTCACACCAGTCACCTTAGGACACTTCAGCTCCCAGGGTATCCCAGCCATGATGTCCACTGCATCAGCAACCCCAACTCCAATGCAGATACCTCCCAGGCCACCACCATTGGGGGTGTGGGAGTCAGCTCCAATCAGAAGAACTCCAGGGTATGCATAGTTCTCCAGGATGATCTGGTAAATGATTCCAGATCCAGGCCTCCAGAAGCTCACTCCATACTTGGCACCTGCAGTTGCCAGGAAATTATACACTTCTGGATTTATATCCTTGGCCTGGCACTGGTCTTTCTCACCCCCAGCCTGGGCCTCAATCAGATGATCACAGTGGACAGTTGATGGCACAGCCACCTTGAGCAGCTCACTGCTAATGAACTGCAGCATGGCCATCTGTGCTGTGGCATCCTGCATGGCTACACAGTCAGGCTGTAGATGCAAGTATGTCTTGCCCCATTTAAACTCCTGGTTGGCTGAGTCATCCAGGTATCCATACACAGTCTTCTCTGAGAGAGTTAGAGGCCAGTTCAATCGTTTTCAAACAACGTTGATGTTTTTCTCCAGCAGGTCATAGTGGATGTACTCACTGTACAACGTGTACAAAGTGGCTCATGGCCACCTTGGCACATTGGCACAGAACAGAGGCCACATGGTACTGCCGCACAACCAGGGCTTTCTGCATCCAGGACACCAGAATGCTGTAGGGCGCCATTTTGTGCACTGACAAAGATGAGGTCGAGGTCACGTTTGAACCTTATTTTCTTTATAAATTACCTAGTCTGTGATATTCTGTTATAATAACAGAAAATATGCTAAGATACCAATGTATAGCATATGTGGGATTACCTGCTCTGTCCCATACTTGTCACAAATGCCCACAACATGGTGTAAAGTGACTGTGGACCATAGGTCCATAATCATGAACCTTCTTGGCTTTACAGTGTTGTTGCTTTCACTTCTGAGTGAAATTAGAAAGGAAAAAGAAAGTAGCTATTTCTTAGTTGTCACTACATATTTCTATGAAGGCTCATTTGACATTTTATGAAGTATTAAGAAAATAAACAATAAGCAGAATGTGAAATGTATGAATATAGGAAAAAATAACAAGAGACAAAACATTTATCTCAGTTATGGGAAGGGCACAGTATGAATTTAAACAAAACATGGCATTCAGCTGTTTGTGGTGTCACATGCCTTTAATTCCAGCACTCAGGAGTTCAAGGCCAGCCTGGTCTACATAATGAGCTCCAGGCTAGCCAGGGCTACATAATGAACCACTATATATATCAAAACAACAACAAAAAATACGGCATTCAAAATTATGCTTGGCCATGTAGTAAAGGGAGGAGATTGGTCTGGCAGTAGATAAATCATTCCTATCTTGTTCCTGCTGATCATGGTCAGGACTCTTACATTTCTCATTGACTTCAGGAAGATGTGGCAAATAGTTGAGAAAAACAATGTAAGCGGGTTCATTTATCTGAGCTCCTTTTTCAGAGGTCTGGTCCATCATACTGAGGAGTGTTGGCAGAGCATAGCCGCTCACACCATAGAACCTAGGAGGCAGAGAAAAGCAGTGCTTTCTCTTCTTTTACTCCACCTGGGCCCCTAGCCAGTGGGATACTGTGGCACATTCAGGGTATGTCTACTCCCCTTAGTTAATGATCTCTGGAAGTGCCCTGACAAACATGCCTAGAAGTGTGGTGAACTAATCTAGATGCGTCTCAATCCCATCAAGCTCAGTCAGGATTCACCACCACAGCATACCATTATATTAGGCAACACTACATTCTACATAGGGAAATCTGTTTCTCATCTCAAAAAACTTATCTGACTTTGGGTCTAGCCAAATTCTTAGAAATTCGTAAACAATTTACATAAATTAATATAGCCAAGGCTGCACATGGCAATACTGAAGGTGCGCCTTCTTTTAAGCATTCCAGAGTGCCAAGAGCATTCATCAAGCTATCCCAGCATCAGCCTCGACTCAGAAAGGCGAGAAAAGCATTATGCAGCTACTCAGGTTCTCTTACTCAGTGCCATGCCCAATCAAAAGTAGCATTTCCAGTCCAAAGCATAGCATTATTTGGGAGGTAAGGAATGAACAGATCAAGTGAGTAAGACAAGATTTCTCTGGGTTTGAGCAGTATGCTAGGCCATCTAGGTCAGTTGTCCAGTATCTAGTATGAACTTCAAAATCACAAAACTGAAGCTAAAATCAGGAAACTCAACTGCCCTGCTGTTCTTGCTTCCTCACTTGCTTACCTTTAGTTTCTGCTGCAACCATGAGCTCTCCAAAAACCTGTGTCCTAGAGGCCCAGTGAAAAATGATATGAGCCTGTTCTGTGCATCTCTTCTTGAACCTTACCTATCCTCAGCTTATCGTGTCTTGGCCTTATTAACCTAAACTACTCTGTGGCTGCTCAAAAATTCATTTCTTCCATTCATTCTCCTACTACACAACTTGATTTTCCCCTGGTCAAACATACCCATCTCGTAGTCCAAGCTAAGATGGCAAGATAAAGAGGGAGAAGCCTGCCATGTGCAGACACTGGTAGTTTGAAGTATGCCTATCCACGTCCTAGACATGAATACCAGCACCAAATGATACTGCAAAGTTACAATAAAAGTGTAAGACCTTCATTCTCTCCATATGGGCATACTGCCTGTTAGGAAAGCAGTCTTGAGTCCCTAGTCCTTATCATAGCAGTTTCCAGATCTGTAGGGATATTGTCCTGTAGATCTTGGTTGTACAGCCCCATTTTCCCCACATAGAGCTCTACCTGTGCGAATTGCAGTTTGGGGTCCAAGATTAACTGACCTGCAGTGAATCAAATTATCCAGTTAAATCATTCTCAATACTGTCTATACTTTGGAATCAGCTTGGGCGGTGGTCTCTAAGCAAACAACTGATGTCAGAGCTCTAGCCCAAGAAATGTACAAATCCGGAATAGGCCAAGCACCCAGGTAGTTCTGCTAACTTCTTCCCTGGCCCACTGTTGGATACCCTGCACATCCACCAAGGATACTGCTTAGTAAGTCCAGGTTTGTAACTTCCATGTGGAGTTACTTTATTAGTGCCCAGTCCCTCCTGCACTTGCTGAAGCTGCCGAAGGTCTGCCCCATGAAAATGGAAAGATAGAGCCAACCCTGTGTCCTTCATACTTGGTTCTCCCTGTCCCACTATAGATCTTTTCCATGTGTGATATAACTTTCTCTCACACTGAAAAGCCAGCATATTCAAAACTGTTTCTTTTCTTTCTAACATATCTACGCTATCACCAAAATACTGATTTGTGTTGCAACTTGCACCATCAAACTTGGGTTCTTATTCACTTTAGGAGTCAATAATGAAAGAGGACTGTTGGGGAAAAGGGTGAAAAGCTTCCCCACACCTGTTATGTTCAGAAATTCTAAGTAGCCTGAACTGCTTTTGTAATCCCATACTGCTTTGTGGTGTTCGATTACCATCTTGTCCACTCATAAATGCCCAAAACCTGGAACAGTGTCTAGTGCTGAGTAGGTGCTCAGTGAAATGTTTGATTGGTAAATGAGCAAAGAAGTGAGCAGCTGGAAAGGAAGGGCTGGAGTGGAACCGATGTGGTTCTGGTTCTGCTGTGGGACTAGTAGTCATGGATGGTTGCAGCCACAAAGAATCAGAGCACAGCTCTCAATCTTTCATGGAAACCCAACTTTTTTTTTCTGAAACACAGCCTTGCTTCCTCTCAGACATTTGGACATTTCTCTTCCCTTGTTCACGTTCTTTTTTAGGACCACCCATGTAGCAGCACCCCGACTGCTCCAAATTGCTTTGCTCTGCCTATTTTACCATTCCAATCATCCAGCTTTACACCAACCTGGTTGTTATGTCCATCCTTACAATAATAGTAGGAACTCTTTCTGGCTTTACAGCATAGTTTTAGTGAGATTAGTTAAATGTTCAGTGAGTCCCTCCCTACTCATTTTATGACTTCCAAGGTGTTTTGAAAGTACTGAAAGCTGACTCCTTAGCCACAAGGCCCTTTCAGTAATGCTCTATTTATCTAAGACTTCCAGCCTACACTGTAATTGTACTGCTGTATGTGGGAAAATGCAGCTGTTTTAGTAATCATAGGTATAGGATGGTGCTGCCTGCACATGGCTCAGGTGGATGAAGATGGGCTCCCTGTGGCTTACATGACACCTTTCAGCATGCAAGAGCACAATTTCTCCCACATTAATTATGACTAAAGATCCCATCTGGTAGCTTTGAACAAGCATAGGATTTGAGATACAAATGGCCACTTGGTTCTGTTAAGAGACTGCAGGATGGTGGAAAAGAGACAGGAGGCAGCAGCATCTGGGTCCATCACTGAATTGCTATGACGATTGTTATAGTCATAGTCCAGCAACATTCTGCCTACATACCAATACCTTTATCCTTTTGGTTTAAGGCAGTATTTTTTAAAATTGTCTATGCCTTACATTGTCCTACCTTAGACTCATTTAGGGAGTTTTGTCTTAAAATATACATTCCTGAGCCCTAGGTCAATAAAACACAGTTTCTGGGACTGAGGCCTTGGACTACAGGTGAAAAAAGTTTATTAATTCTCTGCAGCCTCTTCTGAATTAAAACCGTTTAAAATGCGTACTTATTAAAGTACTCAAAAGAACAAAAAGACACGTTTTTCCCATAGCATAAAGAAGTTTTTAGCAACAAGTAGATGATTTAATTTATATTAAAAACCAAATGAATGACTTACACAAATGACAACAATAGCAGCCATTGCTATAAAAATAACTGTCTTCCATAGTCTGAGAAAATCAGGATATTGGGGAAATCTTTTGTATATCTGCTATAAATTTGTCCCGTTTTTTTCCAGTTTGCAGCTCATCTTGTGAAGATGAAATATCCAAGGGTCTGTATTCTAGATGGTGGCATTAATAAGATCAAACCAACAGGCCTCCTCACTGTCCCATCTCCTCAGATATGAAGGACCAACAGTGTGGCTGAGAAAAGAACCCTGTGGCATCACCCTGAAGCACAGCTCTTTGGAGCCATATCGCATGAGACGAGTGATATCAAGATCATTGAATTGCCATGGTTTTTTCATGAGAGACTTTCGTAAATCTTTTGCCTCAAATGTTCAGCTATCCAGGCAAGAAGCTTGACTGTACATGTACTGCTGAAAGAAGGTTCTTAACAGTGAGATCTGATCGTGTATTTTTACCACACTGCCACATGAAGCCAGAGGAATTCAGCTGACAAGAGAGATTTAGCATTATCACAAAATCTCAGTTCCACCGAGAAAGCTGCCCTCCATTGCACTGAACAGACTGTCCCAACAAAGGTGTTTAGAAATACAGACCAAATATGACCTGAAACCATCACCTCTTCATGATAACAGAAACTGGAAAGCTATTCACAATGTACTCCTTATAAATAAATGGGACATTTGGGAACTCGCTTAACCCAAACAAGTCATTTGTATATACTCATACAGGTATGTGTTTAGAGGGAGTAGTAGTTCACTGCAAAAAGTGCTAATAGCACTCTCAGAAACCAGTCAGATTTGCTAGATTATCTATCCACTTCTGTAGCAGGAACTCAAAGAATGGCTCAAATCACTTTTCTAGTCTATCTTCACACAAAAGTCTGCATGGTTGATGGGGGACTGCAGTTTTTTCTTTGTAATTATATGAAGCCCGAATCTTCCTGCTTTACCAATCAGAAGTTTGGGTGGAAAGATTCCTCAGCTCCCATCATTGTATCTGCTGGAAGGAAGGGAAGGAAAGGGAAAGGGAGACAGAGGAAGGAAGTAGGAAGGGAAGAAGGAAGGAGGAGGAGCAGGGAGGAAGAAAGAGGCTGTTCTCCTTCCTTTCAAAGGCACAGACTGGATTTTGTGCACATTTTTGTCTTCGTAGCCCTGGCCTAGTAGATGACAAAGCAAGCTGAGGGTGCCATTGTCCACTGAGTGCTCTCTCCCAGCTCAGAAACTCTCACTACTGTGTGGAAAGAAGAAAATCATATTGGTAGCCAGCTAGTAGCCTCTGCCTCTGCCTCTGCCTCTGCCATGTTATATAAAAAATTAAATCCTGAGCTTTACTGACTCTAAGACATGATAATTTATGCACCACAAATATGTAACCTAATAAACTAAGATATGCCATCATTTATGTGAATATTTCAGATTTCTGAAATGGGGATGCATCTTTTGACTACCTTAAATTTTAAGAAGTGTTTATTTCAATTTTGTTTAAAAAGTGTTCATTTTTCTATAACATATTCCTCTTCAATGTGAGGACTATTTACTCTGAACATCTGAATGACAGCCCCAACTTTCTGAGCCATGATTTCATCACTACTATTACTGCTGCTCTCTTTATCTTATTTGTATCTGTTTTTAGTTGGGGGGGGGCCTGTGTTATGGGAAACGAGCGAGGGTGATGGCAGGTGCTTCCTCTATTGCTCTCCACCTTACTTTATTGAGACAGGGTGTGTGACAGAACCTGGAGCTCACATGGGCTAGACTGACTGACAGGCCCCTGGGATCCTCCTGTCTTCAACTCTCAGCACTCAATTACAGGAACATGCCACAATTCCCAGCTTTTTAGGTGGGTTCTTGAACCCCAGAGATGCTAGCAAGGCAAATGCCTTACCCACTGAGCCATCTCCCTAGACTGCATCTGTTTTCAATTCAAATCTACTTTACATACCATAAAATTCACCCTTTCAAAGTATTTGATTCAGTGGTTTTCCAGTATATTTATGAAGTTTTACAGTTACCACTGGTATTTAATTCCAGAACATTTTCATCACTCAAAAAAACAAAGTACTATATCTATTTGCAGTCATTTTCCATTCACCTATGCTGGGTCTTGGATTTAATGTTTGTATATGGAGTGAGGCAGGGGTTCAACTTGCATGCATTCTTCTTTTTTTTTTTTTTGTCTTTTTGAGGCAAGGTTTCCCTATAGCCTCAGCTTGCCTCACTATGTAGACCAGGCTGGCCTTGAACTCACAGAAGTCTGCCTCCCTCTGCTGGGATTAAAGGTGCGTGCCACCACACCTAGCCTTCAACTGCATTCTTGCATGGAGATATCTAGGTCAATTAAACTAGACTTGATCATTGATCAAATATATTTTTAATATTAACTATGCAAAATACTACGATAACTACATCATTTTGTCAGCCTTACATAGTTCATAAAGAGAAAATATAAGAATTAGAAAAAATACCAAGATTCTCTAACACGTTTTAGGTCAGCATCTTCCCTGACAATTACTACTGTTTTTCTTCAGCCACTGATGATTTAGCTGTCTTCATAATAAGAAGGCAGTGCTGATAATCAACTCAGAATAGCTGTTCTGAGCCATAACTTTGTCTTACCGATCAGGCAGAGAAAGAGAGCACTGGAGTAGCCTGGACTGGACTTGGACTGAAGGTGGGAGAGGATGAAGACCAGAGTGTTGTGAAGAGAACCATGTAAGAAGAGCACAGCCACCAACCACCACCAGGCTCCTTCATGTGATCTTTTCTTCTAATGTTTTCTTATGTATATGAGTGTTTTGCTTGCATGTATGTAAGTGTACCCATACATGCAATGCCCATGAGGCCAGAAGAGGGTATTGAATCCCCTGTAACTGGAGTTAACAGATGGTTGCTAGCCACCATATGGGTCTTAAGAACTGAACATGGTTCCCTGAAAGAACAGCCTGTGCTTTTAACCACTTAGCTATCTCTCCAGCCTACTTGTATGTAGGTTTTTCTTAAAATATGACACATTTAGGCTCATTCTAAACAGTGGAAAATGTTTTAACATATAAGTAACAACATTCTCAACAGTAACACTCAGATCGTACATAATGGGTAATATTGTCAAGTTGACACTCACCTAGGAGACAGACCTCTAGCATGTCTGTGAGGGAGTTTCTAGGTTGGGTTAAGTGAAGTGGTAAGACCCATCCTAACTGTGAGTGACACTGTTCAGTAGACTTGGATTGAATGAAATGGAAAAAGAAAGCTGAGCACCAGCGTTCTCTCTGTTTCCTGACTGCAGATGTTATGTAACCAGCTGCCTTGAGCTCCTGCCACAGTGACTTCCTTCCATGATGATGAGCCATGGTGTAAACCGAAATAAACCTTCCTTAATGTTGCTTCTGTCAGGGTATTTTATCCCAGTAACTGGAAAAGTGGTACTTAATCATTATTCTTATTCCATGGCAGATGAAATCAACAAAGCTGACCTTAACAACTGTTCGTTAAAGTAAACCTATGCAACCCTTGATTTATAGAGGTTCATTAATGGTATATTACTGACCCCTACACTTTAGGAATGACTTTTATAAAATGAACACAATTTGGACTTCTAAGTAACCCCAGCAAAACCATGTCTCTTGTGAATCGTGACCTGGGCCCCGATCTTGTTTCCTGAGAAGCTCAATTTGGCACTCCACCCAAAAAGATAATAAATGAATGTGGGTGTGCTTGAGACTTAACATATCAGCACTGAAAGCTACTGCACCCACCTTCATTGCACACAGTGAAGACCTGGGATAAATAATAAATTCTAAAACTAGGGATGAAAGGACAGGATGGTCTGTTAAGATAAGGGTGGAGCCAAACTTGTACTTCCCCAGTTGAAGCTAGAGAAACCATTTTTTAAATTTTATTTATTATTTTTATTTTATGTGTATGCATGTATTGCCTGCATGTAGGTAAGTCCACCTGTGTTGTGCAATGCCTGCGGAGGTCAGAAGAGGCTGTTGGATCCCCTGGGACTGGAGTTACAGACAGTTGTTAGCTGTCATGTGGGTGCTGGGATTCGAACCCGGGTCTTCTCCAAGAACAACCAGTGTTCTTAACTGCTGAGCCATCTCTCCAGCCCTGGAGAAACATTTTTGAATAAAATCAATAACTGGGTGGGGCCTGACTTGAGGACAGAGTTCCAGGAAGCAGGTGGTTTCAAGAGATATGGGGGAACGAATGTCCTCTGAGTTTGGATCCACTCTTAAAAATTAAACTTAAATAGCCAGGTGTGGTGATACACATCTTTAATCCCAGCATCAGGAGGCAGAGGCAGGCAGATCTCTGAGTTCACGAGCAGCCTGGTCTACACAGAAAGTTTCAGGCCAGCTGGAGCTACAGGGAGACCCTCTCTCAAAAAAAGACAAAAATAAATTTAAGAGTTAGGCTTTTTGTTCACGTAATTGTGATATTGGCATAGTAATGCCAGACTACATTGTCACAGTACATTTCTGGTCTCTGTAGTATCTTCCTTCTCTCTAGAATGTCCTTACTACCACCAGCATCCCTCTCAGACAAATACACACACACATACACACATGCACACGCACACACACATTCTTCATGAATCAACAACAATTGCATTCCTTCAGTCTTCTCTGACTTCATGCTTCATCCATAGACTCTCAAATCTTGCAGGATTCACAGTTGGGTAAGGTTGATGATTAATTCTCAAGTAGCATACATTACACCTTCCAGCACTATGAAAGCTAACCAGTAGAGTTGAGGCTTTGAAGTCAGCACCAGCTTGATTTCTCCTTATGTGTTCTACAGCTCATGTACATAGTATCTTCAGAAATAGGGTCTTATTGTGGCATCAGTGAACTAGCATAATTACCTGAATAAATAGCCTAACTCTTTAGTTTTTAAGAGTGGGCCCCAACTCAGAGGATGCTCATTCTGCTAGGTATCTCTTGGAACTGTCTGTCTCCTGGAACTGTGCTGATGGAACTGTCTGCTGAAATCCCTGGAACTGTGTCCTGAGTCTGGCCCCACCCATAATTTTATTCAAAATGGTTTCTCCAGCTTCAATTGAAACACAAGCTTGGTTCCACCCTAATCTTAGCAGGCAGCCTGTCTTTTCATCCCTAGTTCTAGAATATCTCATTCATTGCCAGGTCACAGGTCCTTCCCAGTCATCACTGTGTGCAGTGGAGATGATGCACTGCCTTTCAGCACTTTGATATGTTAATTCTCAAGAATAACCACATTCATCCATTCATTATCTTTTTGGATGGAGTATCAGGTTGAGGTTGCCAGGGATATAAGATCAGGTGCCCAGGTCACAAGACATAAGAGCACATGGTTTTGCTGGGTAATTAGTTCATTAAAAGTCATTAGTCTAGATTATGTCCATTTTATAAAAGTCATTCCCACATCATACTGTGAAGTTCTGGAGGGTAAGCAACAGCAGGGGCAATGGCCAGTATTGTGTGAGGGTCTATGGGACCTTTGGTCAACTTCCAAAAAGGGAATCCATTCCTGGCATTGGGCTTTTATTTGGCTAGCTTATGGTGTCTAGTAGGGGCAATGTCTCTCTGTTATACTCTCTTTTTATAATGTATATGTATATGCTTTAAAAAGCTTCTATAGTGGTATGTTTCTATATAGCAAGGTGTGCCTGCTGGTACGTGGCCCAACCACTTTCATTTTGGTTTTTTTTGTTTTTGTTTTTGTTATTTCATTTTGGTTTGGTTTGGTGGTTTTGGCTTTTTGTTTTTGACAGGGTCTTCCTAGTCCCAGCCCACCTGGAAGTCACTATGTGGACTAGGGTGGTCTTGATCTCATAGAGATCTGCCTTTTTCTGCCTCCCAAGGGCCCCAACTATTTTCCAGTTGGATTTAAGGGCCACTTCACAAAATGGAGCCCATACCTAACGTTGATATCAGACCTAAGAACCTAAAGCTGGACAGGTCATAGGCCAAAGGAAGATCTTAATACTAGATATAGTATTAAACTGATTCCTAATGAGTTGCTGTTAAGTCCCTAGATTAATGAATCTCTTAACTCTCAGCAGAGAAACTTTCTTATGCAGCAGATGGTGATTAACACAGGGGACCACAACCAGCTAACATGCAAAGAATAAGAGACTACAGAGTCCTTATCCTTGTATTTGACACCTATATTAAACCTCTGCTACCCAAGGCTGGGATCATTACAGAAGAGGGTGTGGAAAAACTGTGAGAGCCAAGGGTAGTGGATGACCACAAGGAAACAGAGTTTTCCAGACAGCTGGGCAGTTACTCATACAAACTCACAGCAGTGGTGACAGCATACACAAGTCCTGCATAAACTCAAGCCAGAAAAAATCCCTGCATAAACATGGGAATTAAGTAAGAAACTCCAGGCCTTCCTGATATTGGCAG